GATATAGTGGAAGACCTCCTAGTTAAGGTTGGCAGATTCTTTTATCCTGTGGACTTTGTTTTCATGGACATCAATGAGGACGCAAAAGTGCCCCTTATACTAGGTCGGCCTTTCATGACCACCGCCAAGGCTGATAACCTCCAGGTTAGGAGATTTGATCAGAGTAATGCAACGATGGGGTTTGAACAAATTTCAAACCAACTTCTCGAAGAAACATGGTAGAATTTAAAGAGAATGTAATCGTTCTTTCGTGCAATCGTACACAATGGACGAAGGCTTGATAAGAATCAGGTAGCAGCTAGCCACAATCAAGGGTGAATAACTTGATTGATATAGCAACGAGTGCCCTAGAACTCGTTCTAAGCAACTCTCTCTCACAAATACGAAACTTGTGAACCAAACTTGACGTTTGTCTTCAATTCAACAAAACTGAGTTTACAATGCAATTGAATGAACTTAAATAGACCTTAATCTACAAACAAGCTAAAATGGAAGTCCAAAACAAACACAAACTCAGAATTCTAACTCAAATAGAACAAGGCTTAAAGAAATCCTAATCCACAAAGGATTCGGATTGCTGGCAGCAAGACAATTTTGGCCAGCCTTCATACCATCTTGCAGGATTTTGTTTGAAGGCTTCGAAGGAGCGTTTTGATCAACCAATCCCACAGTGTTGTAGTAAGTAACATGTAGATTCATGTGGTAGCAAGCTCCAGCCTCAACTCTCTCCTAGGTGCGTCGAGGAAGCCTTCAAAGAGGAGCACTCAAACTAGCTCCAACACTTAGCCATTTCTGGGCAGGATTCCAGTTTTGACATAGCTTCTTGAGAGCCTTCAAACACGACCCTCATGGCTTCTTCTCTAGTTCCAAAGCACACCACCTTGTACATCATCTTCCCTTGTTCAAAACAAGCCCTTGTTTGCCCTTTTTCGTCCATCCAATTGGGAGATACTTGAAAGACAAGTAAGGTTCCTGAAACAAGCAAAACACTTAGACTGTTTTTGAATGTCCTTTCATAGATTGAGATTGGTGTCTTTTGCAATCCATTATGTCGTGTAGATTGATCCCAGTTGGATCATATCAGGTCCTCCCCCATAAAAAAAGCTTTGATCTCAAAGCTTTGGCTCTTCGCTCTTTGACATGCTACGACACAACTCCTAACAATGGCCAAGTGTAACCAATGAAAGGGACTACAGTATAGTGGCACAAGTAATAAATATCGAATTCACAGGTCTCTAGAGTTACTATTACTCTGCTTCAGTTCATTATCTAGCAAACCAGATTAATGATTGATTTACTAAACTAAGGCTAAACTACTAATTACAAGTTGGGAACTCACTTAGGTATGATTCCCCCTAGATCCTCAATTAGGTCCAAGTTGTAATTACCTTTGTTTGATCTATTGTTGATTAAACTGCGGAAGATCCTAAATTAGCTTGGAATCTCTTAAGCTGACCAAGCCCTCTAAGACAAAATACCCGACAGACGACTAGCCTTAACCGGGATAGACTGCTAAGGTGATTCACACAGATCGCTACTACTGGAATGGATTCCAGTACAAAGCAGTGAATTGACTGACTCTCGCACAACCAATTCACTATTAACGGTTAAAGCATAAATCAAGAAAATTTGATCAGGATTCAATTGACTCAATAAATCATGCCTCAATTGATTAAAATCAAACAATATAGCATCCAAAACTTCATACAAGAAAGATCCTAACCATGGAACTAGGGTTCCTCAAAACCTAAGTGAAGGGAAGTTACTCCATAGAGAAGAGAGAGACTACAGTATAACTTTCCCTATCTTCAATCTTCATGTCTAGACTTGTTCCTTGAGCTTCAATGGTGAAGAATCATCCAAAATAGCTCAAATAATGGCTCTAGATCGCCCTCTCTCTCTTTGGTTCCTCCCTTGGGTGTTTGGGATCCAAAACCCAACTCTCTCTCCAAAAATCGCAAAACAACTTTTATACCCGCCGAGATTCGCACCCCCTACTTGCACGATTGTGCAAATTGGGGTTTTGGCCGTGCAAACCCCCTGGAAAACTCACACGGCCATGCATAATTTTACACGCCCGTGTACAATTTCCAACATGCACTCCTAAGCTTCGTTGAGCTCGTTTGACCTCCGATTAAGGTGTCGTTTGATCCCAGATGCTCATAGTCTCGCCCTCTTTCTTTTCATGACAAGCTTACATGATTTTTTATCAATAAAATGAGGTAAAAATCCATTCTTCCTTAAGTCATTCCCGAGTTTCTCCCCCTGAGTCGCTAATTGATCTCTGATTGACTTGAAACTTGCGCCTAGGCTTCACTTTACATGCTAGGACATGAAATGTGGCAAAGGAACACAACCTAGAGTAAAATAGGCCAAATTAGGATAAACACCAAGCTAAATAATCAAGGAATGAGGGGTAAAACATGTGTAAATATGTAGTCATCACTCTTCGTAACCTTCAGCAAGTCGATCCCAAATTGGATCGAAAGAGACCCCCTTAAACTGCCTTTTTTGGAAAATTAGTGCTTCGTTCTTCATGTACCAAATTGGGGCTTTCGAATTCGGGCATCTCCAGTGCAATTCACCACCACCATCGTCTTCGTCGTACTTCGAATCAATTTTCGAGATGGATCCCATGGTTCGAATAGTGGTTCGGGCCTTTCCCGCCAATGTCGCCGTTTAAATTTTCAGAACCCAGTTATTCCGAATTTTATCAGAGTAACGCAACAATTGGGTTTGAACAAAGTTTAAACCAACTTCTCGACGAAACAGGGTAGAATTTAAAGGGAATGGAATCGTTCTTTCGTGCAATCGTACACAATGGACGAAGGCTCGATAAGAACCAGGTAGCAGCTGCCACAATCAAGGGTGAATAACTTGATTGATACAACCATGAGAACCCTAGAACTCGCTCTAAGCAACTGTCACTAACAAATACGAAACTTGTGAACCAAACTTGACGTTTGTCTTCAATTCAACAAAAATTGAGTTTACAATGCAATTGAATGAACTTAAATAGACCTTAATCTACAAACAAGCTAAAACGGAATTCCAAAACAAACACAAACTTGGAATAGAACAAGGCTTAAAGAATTCCTAATCCGCAAAGGATTCAGATTGCTAGCGGCAAGACAGTTTTGGCCAGCCTTCATACGATCTTGCAGGCTTTCATTTGAAGGCTTCGAATGAGAGTTTTGATAAACCAATCTCACAACATTGTAGTAAGTAACTTGTAGATTCATGTGGTAGCAAGCTCCAGCCTCGAATCTCTCCCAGGTGCGTCGAGGAAGCCTTCAAAGTGGAGCCCTCAAACTGGCTCCAACACTTAGCCACTTCTGAGCATGATTCCAGTTTTGATATAGCTTCTTGAGAGGCTTCAAACACGACCCTCATGGCTTCTTATCTAGCTCCAAAGCACGCCACCTTGTACATCATCTTCCCTTGTTCAAAACAAGCCCTTGTTTGCCCTTTCGTCCATCCAATTGGGAGATAATTGAGTGACAAGTAAGGTTCATGAAACAAATAATTATTTTTATTGGAGTATATTTATTAACATGATATAATAATTTTTATTTTATTATTTTGTGACAATATTTTATAAATTTTAATAATAAATTTTATAATAATATAATATATTTATTTTTCACTCTATTTCCCTCTTTTTCATCCAAATAACAATTTCCCTCTTCACTTAAACTCTCCACTAATTTACACCCCACCAATTTTTACCCTTCAACTTGGACCCCTAAAATTTGCACTCTTGTTGTCAAACATAGTGTATATTGCTAAGAGATATTCGATAGCTACTTGTAATTAGTGTTAATATAGAGTGATTAGATTTCTTTATCCGGTCCCTAAAGAAAGCCCTTGCATTAAAATGTACTACTAAGGGGTCGTTTGCTTCAAGGATTTGGTACCAAAAAACCAACTATCAAGGATTAGGTACAATCCGTTGTTTGCTTGCACAATTTTTGGAGACCAAATCCGTGGGGCCCACGGATTTTAATGGTCCAAATCCGTGGACCCCACGGACTTATAAATCCCACATGTTGATGTGGGATTTGGAATATGGCATAAATCCTTGATGAGATTTTACCCATATACCCTCATGCACTTTTAATATTCCAAGGTTGCCCTCAAATTTTAATATTATACATTATAATTAAAAATAAATGAATAATATAAACGTTCAATTAATGTGCAAACATGAGTTAGATTTTTTATATCATTTCTTGTGTTCTAGTTTTCTTTGACCTTTTCATGGAACGTGTAATTCTTTGTTCTCCCGATTCTTATATATGTTGTTATATGTCACTTTTGAAAAGGAGGACAAAGAATTGGTAATTGATTATGTTACGTTAAAAGTTAAAACAAAATTTTCTCGTTTATTATTATTGTCCATGTGGCAACATTATGCTTATTAGTATGTATTGTCCTTGTTTTGTGTACATATCATAAACATGTCAAACATATAGAAAATGATAGTAATGTAATTTTGAAGTTTTGTCCTTGTTTTGTGTACATATCATAAACATGTCAAACGTATAGAAAAGGGCAGTAATGTAATTTTTGAATTCAAGTAGTAAATCCCACACCTTTAAATTCATGATAAAAACATCTCAACAAACAAAGGATTGTTACAAATCCATGATGCCTCAAATCCTTGATAAATCCTTGGGTTTTTAAATTACAAAACCCTCATTTTTAAATCCATGAAACAAACGACCCCTAATAATAATTTATCCATATATAAACACGGTACAAAAATTTATCCATATGTAAAATGTATTAAACAAACACGCTACAAAAATTCTAGTTTTAATTCATTTTGAGCGATTCTAATATTCTTAAATGACTTCTTCGCATTTCTGATAATAACAAAAAATTAATTCTTTTATATTATCATACTATCAATTTATTTTTTTACTTTGCATGATAATTAGCTAAGAAAAATCCGATCCTTACACTTAAATCCCAGCCCTGCCTGACCCTCCTAAGTCCTAACATCCACTTGGACTTCACCTCTCTGCTGCTCCAAATTCCAGCAAATCCAAAAACTTGCCACTGCAGGCAGCCCCAGACCCAGGCACTCAGAAAATCCCCAAATTCCGAAGACAAACAAATTCCAAAACTAAGAAGAAGCAGCAGCAGGAGCAGCCAAACAGCAACAGCAACATAATTTCGGAAAGAAAAAGAGAGAAGAAAAAAAAAAAAGCAAAGATAAGAACTAAGAAGAAGAAGAAAAAAAAAAACTCCATGTGCTCTCTTCCCCAATTTCTCCTTCTTCCTTAGTATCCTAATCTCCTGCTTAATCTTTCTCACCTAGTCTTGTACCATCATTCCGCCATTCGTTTCCTCTCTCTTTCTCTCTCTTCTTTGATTCAACCTTCTATCTCTACTTCTTGGGAGGGCTTTCTTCACGGAGATGGATGGAATGTACGGTCTGCACTCTTCGACGTCGGAGTACGCGGACAAGTCCCTGATGTCGCCGGAGAATCTCATCCTTCCTTCTGACTACCAGAGCTTCCTCGCCTCCACCGACAACTTTCGCGATCGCAGCCACCACCACCACCACGGCAACTCCAGCGGCGTCCCAATCTTCGGATCCGACGAGTTTCTCTCCGCCGCCTCGGAGTCCGCCTCCATTACTCCCGAGATTCACCCCAGGGAGGAAGAATTCTCTGCGCTCATCAAAGCCAAAATCGCCTCCCATCCTTCTTACCCCCGCTTGCTCGACGCCTATATTGATTGCCAGAAGGTGAAAATACACAAAGCGTCTCGCTCTCTTTCTCTCTCCTTTTCATGTGGTGTTCAGCGATGTTATTTGCGCGCTGTTTGGCGCTTCTGCCTTGCAGTTAATAAAATAATTTCCCTTATTTGCCTTCTCTGTTTGGATTGCTGTTGCTACTGTTCCAGCGGTTTTTAGAATTCGAATTATTGCGTGTTGAAGAGAGCTCCTTTGTTAACCAACAGGTACAAACTGTTAATGTTCAGAGAGTAAGAGAGAGGAGCTCTGCGGATTTTTTTTTTTTTTTAGTTGTACTGGCTGCTAGCTGAAGCCTCCTTATTTATGCCGATAAGCTGTTCGCTATAATTACTGACCCAAAAATGAGCTGCGAATTCTTTATGGTGGAGCAGAACTGATTGTATCTCTTTCTGTGCTGCGTGTTGAGAGGAGAGCGTATTTTTGCCTTCTGGTTTTCTCGGTGTTCTATTAACGGCGACAAATAAAAGCTCTCCGTTCCTTACTTCGCCTAGTGATAAATCCGTCCGTGAGTTTTGCAGGTAGGAGCACCTCCGGAGATATCGAGCTTGTTGGACGAAATCCGTCAAGAGAATGATATTTATTGCCGAAGAGAAGCCGCAGCGTGCTTGGGAGCTGATCCCGAGCTGGACGAGTTCATGGTCTCTCTCTCCTCTCGTTTTCTTCTAGGCACCCAATCCACGAGCTTTGGTTCCTTGTTTCGTTTTTTGGCAAAAAATTTAGCTTGAATTAATGCTTTCCAGGAAACATACTGCGATGTATTGGTCAAATACAAATCGGATCTGGAGCGGCCGTTTGATGAGGCGACCACTTTCTTGAACAATATCGAAATTCAGCTTCGCAATCTATGCACAGGCGCCTCAATCAGAAGAAGCGTATCTGCAGGTTAGTCCATCTATCTCGGTTAATCTATTATTATTTCATTGATCAGTTTTCCATAGAATCAATTAAGATAGGGATTTAGATCCCTCGATTCCTGTGCTGTGGATTATACCCCGCAACTTGCATGGTTGGTTTGAAATACTTTACCTGTATTCTTCCGTTGATCTGGGTTTCCAAGACTTTGGAAAAGAACAATCCAGGTGTTGGTGGAATTTAAAACCCTAGACACGGGAATGACGACGGCCTGATAAGTAGTTCACGTTAGTACCGACTGAAATGCTTTGCTAATATTATAGTTTAGAAGGGTCTATGGCGGTGAATCTAGCAAGTCTTTTGTTTCTCGAGTAATCAAAGAGAGCCCGTCAACACAGCGAGGTCAATGTTTCTGCTGTTAATGGACCGTGAAACAGTGGCTTAAAACACCTTTTTTTTTTTCATAGCGCGAAAATATATATTATTATATACACGATGGTGTCAGTCAAGATGCATCTTGCCATTCGTCTTGTCTGCTGTGGTGGTTGTTCTTTCCAGCCCTCTTTTTTTGCTTTCGAATTTGGAGGGTTTCTTTTTTCTATTTGCTTTTGTCAGAAGTATTAAACATTGAAAGTAAAATCTTCCATTTTACGGATTCTGAATGACTCATTGATATCTTATGTAAGTACCAAACAGTAGTTTGATTATTTCTTTGTTTTGTCTGATGCCATAGGTAATATAGAAACCGCGGGGAATGTTTTAATGTGAATGAGAGTTGTGTTTGCAGCTTGTCTATGCCCATCATTTGCTGTGTATTTAAAATATAATGTTTTGATTTGCTTGGTAGGGTTGTTTTTGGCTTGCATGCATCATGTCTTACGCTTGCTTGGATGCGAACTTGTAATGCATTACGCTGCTGCTTGCTTTGTTTGAAATGTTAAAAATTTCAAGTTTGAAATAGGTCCAAAATGGTCTGAATATGTCGTGGAGTGTTTTCAGTTGACTTCCACTCGATTGTGTCATGGACGCATTGTCTTATTGGGCATTTGCATAGTTTCCCGGGGGCCTACGGGTAGCTCAACTTGAAGGTGTTAAACTTTTCTGCTTGCATAGATCTTTCATGCTCAATTTTGTTTTCTCATGGAATCTGCATGCCTGATATGTTAATAAATAACAACACTAGCACGTTTTAAGTCGAGTAAAAACAAAACACATTTCAGTAAGTTGTGATTATACTATTCCATGTTTCTTGTTAGAAAAGAATATCAAAAGACCCTTTGGTTCAGTAGTAGGCGAGATGGCCTCAGATTGACTGATTGAAGTCCCAGTGACTCCGAACTCGCCCTTTTCCCTCTCCTTCAATTGCAGGAGTAAGCGTAGTTACTATCTATTTGAGAAGGAAAAACATATTTTTCTCGGTCTTTTTTCTTCCTTTCTTTGTGCTTATTGATTAATCTGCCATCCGTGCATGTAACTGATTTCATATATGCTTTGGAAAGCCTAATTTAGCGCTCACATTGAATGTTGGAGCTGACATTCAGTCCTTGTTGCTCTCTGAAACAAACAGTAAAAAATGGCATAATATTAGTTGGATGTGAGTGGCCTACAATTTTGGGTGTTATCATTTCAAGTGGCTTTGAATGTTCAATGTTCACGCCATTCTCAGTTTAGGAATATGTTAGTATTAACCATATGTAGTGATACTGATCGTCATTTGAATCTTCCTTCCCGATTAACTCTGCCTGCTTTGGGAAACCTGGTTGTGATGACTTATGGGTACTTTCTTTATCTGTTTGCCGATCATGTTCTTATTGAAAATTTCCAACCTTTTCCGGCCTTTTAACTGCATGTTCAGTTCTGCAAAGCAGAACAAGGAAACCAACATGTTTGTGGGAATAGAATTACTCATGTGTTGTGACCAATGATTAAAATACCGTAGCGAAAGCTGTACTGAAAAAGTTAGGGGTAGAGTATTTTTTGCTAAAACCGTGGTTTAACCATGATTCAATTGTTAAATACCGCTAAATATCGCCTATTGATTTGGTCTCCGATAGTAGATTTTTTTGGCTGAACCACCAGTACGGTATGATATTTCAATCCTTGATTGTGACTAATATTATCTGTAGTTAGAACACCAAGTAGAGTAGAACATGAATGAGCTCTTCTTAGGCATGGTTTCCCATGAAAATAAAAAGGCTGCTGGTGTTTCCAAACCCATATCAGCTGTAGTGGGGTTCACAAAAAGGAGTCTAGCGAAACAGCCTTAAGTATATTATTACATTTTTTGAAAATTTTAATGAATGCAGGCATCCTTGGAACTTGAAAGGCGATTGATTATTGGATCGTTTTTATTAAATATAGTCATAAAAAGAAGCAACTTCTTGTATCAAGTAGCTAGACTTGATCGTTTATTTAAACGGTTGGCATTGGTTGGCAACTATGATTGTTTTTATGAGCAAGTACATGTTACCTTTTGAGTTGTATGCTTTGTTTGTAGTTAATCCCTGTTTAAGGCAAGGTTCGTTAAACTTGCCATAAAAAGCAATCGGGCTAAAAGATTCTTTCGACCATGGCACCATTTGAAGATGCCCACTAGAATTTATGCTAGTATAGGTCCAGGATATATGATTTTCTTATTGCTGCGTGATAATAATAATTTTTCTGTCACCTGTTTGTTATCTCTAACCTTTCCCAGATTTAATTAATACACTGGATTAGGTTCCTTCTACTTATGATGAGCATTTTATTATTTATATATAGGTGAATAAAAACCATTTAAATAGCATTGTTAAGCACACAGTAGGGACTGACTTGCAAAGAAAGGTGTTGGTTTATGGCTTTGAAGCCGCTACTAGCAAGCATTTTCTTTGCACGTGGGTGACCTTTTGATTGTTCAACGTGTGTTTTTCGCCTTTATAGGGGTGTAGTTCTGGTTCTGTCAACGGCTAGGTTCTATCTGTTATCCTTCTTCTGTAGGCTAGCTTTGTTGAAAGCTAGATTTGAGGTCGGAATTTGGCTTTCAAATTGTCAGAAGCGTAGGTATATAATATTATGGTTTAGTTTTGGGGATGAAGTTGTTATGATTAAGCATTCAAACCGGTTAATCAAATCACTATAAGTTGCTGAAAACCCATTACTGTGATGGGAGTGTTGTTTGACTCCTCCCTAGCTAATGTTAGGTTGATGGAGGAAGCACATATTACTGTTGCTGGGCAATGGACATGCACAGCACAGTAGTAGTAGTGGAGAATATATAATAAGGTGCAGAAGAAAAACCTTGTATGTGATATTGCTTTCGGGGAGGGAGTTTATGTGACGATGTCTATGAAAGGTGTTCCGTGCATGCATAGTGAAAGATCACACGCGATTGTGGATGTTGGAAAGAGAGAGAGAGAGAGAGGGATGGGTGTTTGAGATTTTGTGTGGCGTATGATTGGTAGTGGATGGACAGTGTGGGTCACGGAGGGAGGGTGTTAATGAATGAATGAATATGAAAGCAAAGGGTTTGGTTTTGGTGTGTGGTAGCTTTATGCCCGGGTAGAGCGGGAGGTCGGAGGGAGGGGAGGGTCACATGGGACTCCCGCACATTTCGCTGCCAAAAAAACCCACCACCTTTCTACTCATTGCTTCATTTTCAATGTCCCCCTTTCCCTCCCCTCTCCTTCGTTTCGCCGGCCAGCCCAGCCCCTCTCTCTCTCCCTCCCTCTCTGCTGCAGCTGCAGTGCTGCTCCTAGCTAGCTAGTGGGTGTCATTTCCATGGACACCTTTCTTTGTTTCGTTGCGGGTCTTGATTAATTCATTCACTACCCTAGCCTTAGCCTGATCCTCTCTCTCTTTCTTCCTTTTTCCGATGTGCTTTCACACGTGTCTCCTCCGTCTCCGGCCCCATACTGGAGAGAGGGGTCTTTTCCGGGCCCCACCGTTACATTGCTCTCTCATCTCTCCTCTCCTGTATTATTATTATTATTATTAAAAATCCTATCTATCCTTTTCGTGTAGAGTGGTTGCTCTCCCTCAGGGTGACTTGGTGAGGCCTCACCTCACCTCAGTCAGTCTTATTACCATTTAATTATTGTCTGTTTTACGGAATGGGGCTTCTTTTCTTTCCAGTGAATTCTCAGATCAGGCTGTCCCTGTCGCCCATGCGGTTTGGTTTCTCTTTCTCAATAAAAATACAAAACAATAAGGCCAGGCCAGGCCAGGCCAGGGATTCATTGGCCATGCCCTGTGCCACAAACCATATTCGTTGTTGCCGTCGGATACTTGACCTTCCATTCTTACTGGCTGCCGTGTGCTGCCTGTGGGTGGTGGCTTTACTCTCTCTCTCTCTCTCTCTCTCTCTCTCTCTCTCTCTCTCTCTCCTTTCTGCTGATGAAGTTTTGCATTGTCCATTGAGCCCATGGTAGCTCAAATCTTTCAATTGATTGATCATTAGTCCAAAGTATTAAAATGTGCTATTATCATTAGTATTGAACTTGAAGGCCAGAAGTTCTAGTTAATTAAGTATTACCTAACTAAAAATAGATTATTTTCAGAATCTCATTGGCTATTATAACAAATCTATCATTTTCAGAATCTCATAGGCGGTAGTCGGTATTATTTCCAGTCATAAGATTGGGTTACATAAAGGCCGTCACGGCCCACCATAGTACCAGGGGGCCCGTTAAGTAATGCATTCGTTATCGTGCACTCAACTTAAAATAGATTATTATTATTGTTGTACAAAAAAGAAAATTAAATAAAATAGATTATCTTGCGAAAGAGGAAGAAGAGGTCGAGCTTGCTGGGGACACTAGTGCTAGGTAGGTCTGTAACCAAAATTGTATCTCAACTCGCCCTTCTGCAAAGCTTGATTTGATGGCCACTTCCCCAAATGAAGAAAAAAAAAAAAAAAAAGAGATAGAAATCATATTTTCTTTTCAACCAGTCTGGCTGGCTCCCCCTTCTGCAAAGCTTGATTTGATGGGCATACACTACACTACTGTGAAGGTGTCTCTCGAGTCCCTGACATTTGACATAACCATTCACTCTCAGTCTCTGTATCTGCTGTTTCCTTTCCTTTTCCTTTTCATTTTTGCTTCTTCTTGCACTTCCTTTTCGGAAATCTTTCAAGTATTTCTAACTTTTATTTGCGGATTTGGCTGAAGCTAACCAGTAGTTCCAGTTTTTCTCTCCTTCATTAGCACTCTAGGCACGGACTAGGGAGTAGGGAGTACTGGCACTAGATGTCCACAAAAAAATAAAAAAGAAATAGTGATATTGGGTAAGGACGTAAGGTAATACAATGGGTGGCAAGGTTGTCAAATTTCTTTAAGTCATTGAGCTCTTTTATTTGTCAGATTGGTGTCCAATAGATTTGAGCTAATCGATTTGAGCTATTTCATACGTTTTCTAAATATATATAGAAATAAAGTAGTAATTAAAAATTACAACTGAAATAAAATTTATCTTACATGTATTTATTAAAAATTTATTTTTCACAAAATTAAGCTTATCTAATCTAATCATGATGACTCACCCACCATCTTTTTTCCTCTTCCTCCCTTTCCTCTATCTTCTTCTCTCTCTTTAGTGATTAGATCGGGAGGTTTTCTAGAGGTCGTTTTGAAGCCCGACTTAGTTCTGATCAGGTCCAACCGGGTGCTCGATAGGGGTTTAACAATGGGTTGTTTTGTTGGTGTATTTTTGTCGGTTATAGATTTTTAAGAATGAATGATATAGAATCGATAGCTTTGAAAATATAGATGTAGTTAGTGAATTTAGAAAATGTTGTTGTTTGAATGAGTATTTGTGACTAGTGGTATTGAAGTTCTTTTTCTAGTATGACCCTTGGAGTTCTAACAATTTCTTTATGTAGTTCTTTCCGTCCCTAAATAATGTGGGGCTGACTCAACAGGGCCTAACGCTAACTCACGACTAAGTCACCATAACTAATAGCTGATTTACCTAACTACTACCTCTTTGATTTTTACCATTATCGGCACTAATCTTGAAAATGTTCGGAAAAATAGTATTAATTTTATTGAATTTAGTTATTTGTTATTACATGAGACTTTCGTGATGACTTGTCAATTGTTTTTCAGTAATATAACTTTTAACAGTTTTCGTGAAATTATTTTAATCTTTGCTTAAAATAAATAATATTAATATACACTACACATATTTACCTTTATCAAGGACAATGCATATTGTAATATTTGTGTAGCATTATTTTATAACTGTTATGCTAGATATATCAAAGTTAACTTAAAGCTACAAAATAACAGTTATTTCTTACGTAACATTTTAACAATGGTGTTACGAAGAGTCTTCCGTAATTACTTTATACTCCACATATATAATACAATGTTCTATAACTATTGCGTAATCCATTCTCATCGTGAGACTCTTTTCTCTACGGGTTTCCTATTTGCTCGACATTGAAGGGCTAAAGAGGACTCATCTTGTTTGGTATCTGTTCATTTGTTGTATTGGATTTGGACAGAGTATTTGAAATAAATGTTGTCATTGACTCTGGGCAGACGAAGGTGCTGTATCATCCGAGGAGGAGTTAACTGGAGGAGAGACGGAGGAGGCACATGACGGTCAACCAAGCAGCGAAGACCGCGATCTGAAGGATAGACTTCTTCGTAGGTTTGGGAGCCACATTAGTTCACTTAAGCTCGAATTCTCAAAGAAGAAGAAGAAAGGGAAGCTACCAAAGGAAGCAAGGCAGACCTTGCTTGAGTGGTGGAATGTTCACTACAAATGGCCGTATCCCACTGTACAGTTTCTCATCTTTCCTTAGGCTTGCTTTCTACATGTGTTTAGGTGGCTTTGCTTTTGGGTTGCGATTGAGATGTGTTGATTTTGGGTTTTTGTTATTGATTTGCACCCATCCAGGAAGCTGATAAGATAGCGTTGGCAGAATCGACAGGGCTGGATCAGAAGCAGATCAACAACTGGTTCATAAATCAACGGAAGCGTCACTGGAAGCCATCTGAGAACATGCAGTTCGGAATCATGGATGGTATGTCTGGACAATTCTATGCAGATGATTGAAGGTGTCGTGTAAATCCTCTTTACCTTTGAAGAACCCCACTTATATATTTTTGTTAGTGCCTAAGAACTACCCCACTTCAGTATTGGAGGGGAAAGGAAGGGAATAGGGTCTTTCTTTTGCTACCCGAAAAGGGGTAATTTATTTAAGAACCTGTATTCTAGGTCGATCTAAGGCCCGCAGCTTGACCGGACATTCGGGAATGAAAATTGCTTACATAGTTTGGAAGATATATTTCATGAGCACTTCTACTATGCTATATAGTATTGGTGTTTTAATGTACAACTTAAAGTTGTACCATAACATTAAATGTCTAAGTTTAGTTTGTACCATAAAGCAATTTGTATCATTATGTTATGGTACAACTTTACAACTTGAAGTTGTACCATCACATAAAGGTAGAAGTCCATCATATATGGTGCTGGACATTATTCTATTCTTCTTTCTTCCTTTTTTGTGAATGAATGAATGTGAGTATGCTATGGTGGACTTCAAGAGCCAGATCTTGTACTCCGAATGGATTGAAAATTGAAAGTTGTTCGAACAGATATGAAGAAAATGCAAAGATTGTTCCAAAATCCATTTCCAAGTTGAAGAAAGTGGCTCTTATGTAGTCCGCCCCTTATTTACCTGCAGCCCCGGTTGTAGGGGTTCCTGCAACCTGCCAGGTGTGAGCCTTTGATTGGCTATTTTTTTTAATTGATTCCACATTTAAAAGCTACCCCAAATTCCAACATAACAGTAACTAACGGTGTGTTTGTTCAAAGAAAGAGAGAGTTTTATCACCTTCTCTCCTTTCTCTCTCGTGCAAATCAAAGGAGTTTTTTTCTAAACAAAAAAATTATTTGCACACTGCAACTTTATTGTTTTTTATTTAATGCTAACTCCTATGACTATAACTAAGCGAATTTAAGCTTCATTTTATCAACTAAAACATGGCCAATACTACGGTGCCGCTATTAAAAGTACGACATCGGTGATGCCATTTGTGATTGGTCCATATGTACATTACGTGGCACTGATTGTTTTAGCTAATAAGCCCAAACCCAATAAACCATTTGACCAGCCCAAACTTGCAGCTATCCAAGGTGACAGAGAACCTTTATGCCGTCTTCACTCTTCCATTTCCCGACCTTAGGCGTTTTTATTTTTTTATTTTCATTAATTCAGTTAAAATTCATTTAACCTATAAATTCAATTTTTTTCTCTCTGAGAACCGAACACAAATTGCAACTGAAAAGTCAAAGTCATCCTCATTCTTGTGCTCCGTCTGAATAAATAACAAATTGCTCCGGCGAACCTCACCTTCACCGATCCAATCTAGAGTCTGTACCATACGCGTGCATTAAACTCCTTCACCGTGTTCCTCCTCCTAAATTCATTCTGCAAAACAAAATGATGAATCACTGATTCCGAGCGCCTCTCTGTCTCGGTCGAGCTGCTCTGCCGCCATCGTACAAGACGCTCTGATCCCTCCCACTGCGTCGCCCCCCTCGGGCTGGGCGCCCGATCCCACTGTCGGAATCGTTGAAGCTGAATCCAACGTATAGAATGGACTCTACTACGACAATTAGCATTGCGAGGAACTGTCGTACAACCATAGACATTGGATCCTTACTAGGCAGTTTGATGTTCTTTTGAATCAGGAATGGGAGGTTAGGATTGAACATGTGTTTAGGGAAGCTAATTTTGTTGCTGACTTCTTAGTTAGTAGGGGTCGCCTTGTTAATTTTGGCACACACCACTTCAATGTGTGCGACCCGAATCTTGGACAATGGTTGTTACATGACATCATGGGCATTGCTCATGATCAATCGATTCTTAATACGAATTAGACACTAAAGCGTCACTCTTTCTACAAAAAGAAAAAAAAAGAGAATGGAGCTAACTAAAGAGTGTTAATGTTGTGGTTCTAGGACCCTTCAAAAGAGAGCATGCCCAAACTAAAACAAGGTTTGGTTATGATTCTCTGGTTTGCCTAATTACAATTGTTTCAAATTAGTTGCAGTAGCAGACCTCAATCAAACCCACCACATTGTTTGACATGAAAGGAAGAAACAGATAGGTTCAAATGCATGTATGATCGTATTCTTTGCTGAAGATGAACTCTTATCATTCCTATTTTATTTTTGTGCATACAGATGGTTCTCATGGTGTCTGATTCTGAATACTACAGTAGCTCGAATCTGGCTGATTATATAGCTCTTACCTTTGTCATTACGACCAACTTTATTCTTACCTTTCCTTCTTGTTTCCTTAAACTTCATCTTTGAATCTTACAAGGCGAAGCAGATCGCCGTGATCGGTTGGGATATTATTGTTATGTTGAAGAATATTGGGAAATACAATGTTAAAAAATGGCTTCATAGTTCAATCTTAAACAGAATAGTATCTGGCTCATTGTCTTAACTCTCAACAAACACTTATACTTGAACAAGGTTCTTCCAAAATCATACAGACCAAGCTGAAAGCTCCCTAGTTCTAGATCATTCCATTCATCATAACAAGACGAGATGTTTTTTTTTCTTGGTTATGTTGACCATAGACATGAGTTATTTACTCACTTGGGAAGGGGTGCAGAAAATAATTACAGTTTCCATAAGGATTTTAAGCGAAACTACAATCTGGAGAGCTAAAAAGCACTTGTTGAGCTCTAACCTCTAAGACGTTTATGATATGGATTAAGCATCTTCTCTGCTAGATCCTATTCATCATCCAAAACTTCAGGCCAAGGAAATCTCTTGACATCTTTGACAGAAGATATGATTGCCTGTGCTACGCCATACTACGTTTCTGCATGAACAAGCAATGTCCTACCTGCCAGTTGTCGGACTAAAGTTGTTTGCTCAACTGCTTCTTCTGCTTGGTTTTTTTCTGGGGAAACCCGACTGCAAACATTGTAGTGCCAGAATATTTCTTCACTGCCTTCATCAGCAAAGTAGACATTCACCACTCCAAGTATATGCAAGAACGGAAATAGTTGGGAAAACTTCAACTTGCCGTTTAGAGGCCCTCCATCAAGTCTTTGTTTTTTATGAAAGCTTATTGAATACTAAATTTAAGAACTATCATGTACAAAATAATTTGATATGCTATGCAAAGGTAGACCAGATGTAAAAATAAACCTGCAGTGCATGACTCTTAATGAATACCACGAGCCAAATATTTGTCCTACAACTAGCTACAAATTTCAGTAGCTTCAGTTGAGTTGATTGTTCAAGAACCGTGAAAGCAAAAAACCAATAGCTTCTCACCTGCTCTCGACCCCTGACCCTGAAATCTTAGAATCTCCAATGCTAGAGCTAGCAGATTCACAAACGACATCAATAGAAAGTCGGTAAAATTGCCAATTTCAATTCAACCTACAACCACAAACCAACCAATGCTGTTGTAGCAGTAGTAGATTCACAAACGACCAACAACAGAACTTCAGTAAACTTGTTTAACCTAGAAACCAAAATCAACGCTTGGTTGAAAATCATTACGGGAGAAAAAAGTGAAGATAGATAATCGAATCGTCGTTACCTCGATGGAGAAATCGGGGAGCACAAGCTGAGGATAGCCGGAGTGGCACCGAGACGGACTTTCTGAAACTTCCCCTCGGCCACCTTCCCAATTTCGAGTCCCCTCGACCCTAAATATATATTAGTAAACCGGGTCCGGATCGTGTCAGTAACTGATGGGTCAGTAACCCATCAGTAACCCATCAGCTGATCTCCACGTGTCAGTCCACTTTTTTATTTAAATTAAATGCGGAAGGGCAGTAAGGTAAAATGCACTTATCCCCTATTTATTGCTGACGCGCTGACTTTTGACCGACCACAGCAGGACCTCCTTCTCTCTCATCGAAAAACCTTTAATTTTCCTTCTCTTAATCTTTAACGGGCGATTTCTCACTCGTTTTAAGTCGAAATTTAATTTTTTTTGCACAGTTAGATCAGATTAATTATGCTCTTCAAAATGATATCCACTTTGATATTTTTTTGACACAAAATTTTTTTCCAGTTATTACCAGTCTATACTATATGGTATAGTGTGGTAATATCAATATATATTTCGTTACCACCCAATACCATATGGTATAGTGTGGTAATATCAATATATGTTTCGTTACCACCCAATACCATATGGTATAGTGTGGTAATATCAATATATATTTCGTTACCACCCAATACCATATGGTATAGTGTGGTAATATCACACAATACCATATGGTATAGAGTGGTAATATCAATATATATTTCGTTACCACGCAATACCATACATTAACATAGGGTATAGTGTGGTAATATCAATATATATTTCGTTACCACCCAATACCATATGGTATAGTGTGGTAATATCAATATATATTTCGTTACCACCCAATACCATATGGTATAGTGTGGTAATATCAATATATATTTCGTTACCACCCAATACCATATGGTATAGTGTGGTAATATCAATATATATTTCGTTACCACCCAATACCATATGGTATAGTGTGGTAATATCAATATATATTTCGTTACCACCCAATACCATATGGTATAGTGTGGTAATATCAATATATATTTCGTTACCACCCAATACCATATGGTATAGTGTGGTAATATCAATATATATTTCGTTACTACACAATACCATATGGTATAGTATGATAATATCACATAATACCATATGGTATAGAGTGGTAATATCAATATATATTTCGTTACCACGCAATACCATACATTACCATAGGGTATAGTGTGGTAATATCAATATATATTTCGTTACCACCCAATACCATATGGTATAGAGTCATAATATCAATATATATTATCTAAAAGGAAAAAAAACAGAAGGAGGGAGAGGGAAAAAAAACTCTTCTTCTATTTCGTCTCATTTCCTCCGCAATCAAGAACACCAAACGCCAAAAAAGGGAGAAAGACCGAAATTGAGGCCAACGAGTTGATGAAGAGACAAAAAACGCAATGAAAGAGGGTGGCTGCAAATTTTCTTCGTCGATTACTGGAGAGAAAAAAACGAAAAAAGAAGAGAAGGAAGCAGATCTAGATATGGAGAAAGAGATTGGAGAGAAAAAAAAAGTAACAGAGAAAGAGAAATGATAGACTGAGAGAGAAGAAGGAAGGGAGAAAGAGAAAAGAGAGTTGCAAGAAATGATTCTCTCTGCTCCTTTGAAAAAGCAACCATTAAAAGTGGTCTCCTTTTTTTGAAAAAGCGGCCATTAAACTTGGAATATAAAAAAAAAATTCATAAACGGACAAAAATGCCCTTCTGGACCCCGCATTCAGCCCAGCCGCATGATTGATTCACCCCTAGATCTACGGTCCTAAAGTGGTTACTCACTGGTGAGTAACAAAGGGTTACTCACCCTATCTCAAGCCTAGTAAACCCGCTCGGCGCCATCGAGAAGCTGAACGATCTGCGTCTCTATGCTTGAACTCCTCCAAATTGGCAACGGAGGAATCGACCGAAATTACAGTCCGACGGAGGAATCGGCCGAAATTATAGTGCGACGGAGTGAGAGAGCGATGAAGACACGCTGGGTTTTGGGTTTCGTTGTTGTTGTTTATGTTATTGGAATAAAAAAAAAGTAAAATAAATTTTACAGGAATTAAGAAAGAAAATGAAAAACGAAGATAAGAAGACGGAATAAAGCTTCTCCGTTATCTTGCGCGGTGGCGGTTTGACCGACTCATAACCTCCTGATTTAGGTTAGGATTTAATAAGCTTAATCAGTGCCATGTCATTGTCCATGTGGACCAATCACAATCGGCGTTACCGGTGCCACACTTTTAATAGCGTCACCGTAGTATTGGCCCTAAAACATGTAATCAAATTACAATCAATGACAAACCCAATCAATCTCCCAAAAAATTTAATATCTCAGAATCGTGCCAAAATAAATCTCAAAGTAAATTACATGCATAATCCATTCAAAAAGGTTCCCAAATTTCAAAAAACTGTAATCAATCGAAATTGTTCCAAAATAAATCTCAAAATAAGTTCATAGAAAGAAATCAATAATGTCGTTCAACCGAGAGCATATAGAAAATATATGTTCGCTATTTTGGTGCATCATCAGCATGTGAATTTGCAATTGCCTCCTGCATTAGTACAAATTAACAACATTGTCAAATAAAATCTAACGAAAATATAAAATAATAGTAGTTTCAACTACATACCTGTAACAGTTGGGTGTATGAAATGTTGTTTGAAGCAACTGTGCACTCAAAACTTTCTTCATAGTCATGTCTTGTTGTACCAATAGTTAAACTTTGAGATTCAAATGGCCCAGTTCTCCCCTAAAAACATAAACAATAGTATGTAGTTCAATACAATAAAATGATTAGACATGTACGCATAAGAAATAAATTAATTTTGTTCTTTTGCCTACAAAATATATTAAGGATAAGCAAATACCTTATTACTTTGAACTTGAAACTTATCACTTTCATGTTGACAAACATTTGTTGGCATCTCCTTAACCTGCATATGATATATTTTTTGAAATTTGTTCCTTTATGTCATTTAATAGAATAACAAGCATATGTTAAATGAAGAAAAGAGAGAGGGAAATAAGAGCCTGTGACTTTGATTGAACTTTTTTACTTTTGCGTCGCTCTAACGGACCTTTAAATCTCTTTTTTGGTCGCTCAACAGTTGGCTTTGTCTTAACTCCAGCTACAATTGGATAGTCTTGTTCAAGATCTGAGCCCAACACATCATTGTTGGTTCCACCACGTGAAGATCTTTTCATTAACCGCAAGTCCTTAAGTAATGTTGAAAAAACTCCACATGCGTGCTCATACATAGTGTCATCCTCAGCTGCTAATGTAGATATGTCCCGAAAATTATAATTCAAATTGAAATAACACTTCCCAATCTGTTCATTAGAACTTCCACAAACTTGAATTGCACTTCTGATATCTCCATCTTTCGCATCCTTTGTCCATCTTTTTAATATATAATCTCCAGGAATCTGCTTTATATTTTTCTTGTCAAGAAATTTTAAAGCATGAGAACACAAAATCCCCACAAAGTCAAACTTCCTGCAACTGCAATCAACTATTTGACGAGAAGCCTCAAATCGAACATAGTGCTCGGTACCTCTACCAGCATATTTTACTTTATATTCCGTATGACCTTCAGTTTTGCTGACCTTATCAATTGTGCAATCCCAAACTCCGAGATACTCTTCTTCAAACATTTTAGGAGTGTAAACATCTGATGTCTGTTTTAACATCTCAACATATGCTTTTAGCACTTGGTTGGTATTCCTCAGTTTGACTCCCAGAAGCTCTTTGTACCTTTTATCTTCCACCAATCGGTTATAATGCTAAAAAAAGTACACCATATTGTGTTTTGGCTTCAAGTACTTCTTTAACACATTATTTATTGATTCACTGCATTGGGTACTCTTCATATCAGCAGTAAACATATGGCGTCCATAAACCATTGCCCACTTTCTTCTTTCTAAGAATATTCCATGCAACCATTCATTGTCTTCCAAAGAATATTTAGTAAGCATAGTATTCCAAGCTTGATGCCATTCATCTTCATCTTCGTAATCAAATACACAGGCACCAAAATCACCAGAAAATTGCTTGGAGGAATGAAATACATTGCTTAAATGTGTAGGAGCATTTAGATAAATATGCCAAACACATAAACGATGATGAGTTTCAGTGAATACCTCTTCAATTGCTCTTGCCATGGCAGCTGATTGATGTGTTAATATGGTCTTTGGTTGCCTTCCTCCCATTGCACTAAAAAAAAGCTTCAAATAACCATTTGAACGATGAGATGGTTTCATCATAAAGCAACGCCGCCCCAAAAATTATCGTCTCTTTCAAGTGATTAACCCCAACAAAGAGAGCAAAAGGTCGGCCGTACTTATTGGTTCTATAAGTTGTATCAAAACATACAACATCTGCAAAGTGATTATAATCAATTATTGACCTACCATCTGCCCAAAAGATATTCATAAGAAGATCATCATCATCATCAAGTTGCACTGTATAAAAGAATGATGGATCCTCTGACTGTGTTTTCTGAAAACAATTCATAATGGTTGGACCATCTCCTTTAATCATTGTAGCTCGTCTTCGTGGAGCAATATGATTTCTGTAGTCTGTATCCAAAAACCCATTATGCTCGCGACCTCCATTCTGTATTGCTAGTAGATCAATAGTCCCTTTGATTGGTTGCCCAACTTTTGCAGCATCATATGCAATAGCTTTTTGAGCATAACTAAGCTTCCTATTGTACCTCAACATATGTTTCATCGGAGTAGGGGTAAGCTCATGGTTATGGTTTGCTTCAAATTTAACAATCTCAAGCATGCCATCATTTTTCAGCTGACATGTCATCTCTGCTAAACAACCCACTCTTGTTATTGGCCTTTTGTAGGCTACCTTCGCAGACCTTTTATCAATACCCTTTTTTCCTTGCTTAGAACAACTAAATGTCATTCGCTTCACCTGTCCAGACTTTGTACGCTTGATGAAGTTCTTTTTTATGCTGAAACCAACACCGTGTGCATATGCTTTATAGAATTCATAGGCACTATCATCACAGTCAAACTTCATGCAAATACATGGTACTTCAAAATTTGCACTCATCTCTTGTACCTAGAAAGTCACATAATATGTTTCTATTCAAGTTTATAATAATAGAAAATAACAGTGCTGTAGAAAAAGTAATATGCTTCAAAATAATAACTTAGACCAGAACTTGTACAAATCCCTAATAAAGCAAAGAGTGCCGTGAACTATGATTATCATCAAAACAATTTAAGCAAAAAAAAAAAAAAAACCAACTTGCAAGTAAGTACGTTCACTAAATCATAGCTCTAAGTCTTTCTTCAACAAAAAAAAAAAAGGAAAAAAAGGAGGAGAAGCTATACTTGAGCAATTTGCAATGATACAATAGTCATGGTAAATAATCCCAAACCCATACATAATTGAACTATATATAGAGTCCCAAACCCTTTGCTTTCTCCTTTTTAGTTTGGGATACGGGCACTTCTTTATTTTTGGAATTATAGAGAGAAGAGAGAGTAAGAAAATATATAATAAATGAGACCATCAAACACTCCGTTAGTGCTACCGTTAGAAATTGGTAGCTTTTAGATACGTTGGAATTTGGGGTAGCTTTTAAATTTGGAATCATTTAAAAAAAATAGCCAATCAAAGGCTCACACCTGGCAGGTTGCAGGTAAATAACGTCCATTTTTTTTTGCAGTGATATCAAATGAGAGAGAAGTTAAAATCTATTTTTTTGAGTTAATTGCATGGTTGGTCACTGAGATTACAAAAAACGTTCAAGTTTGGTCACTCGAAATATTTAAATCCATTGGTGGTACTTCACTTTACTGAAACCGTTCACGTTTGGTCACTCTCCATCCAACTCCGTTAACTTTTGCTTATGTGGCGGTCAACTCTAAAAGTTGACCGTTAAATGTGTGACGTGACAATTTAAAATTAATAAATTAATTTTTAAAAAATTGCCACCTCATTTCTACCTCATTATCACTTTTATTTAAAATAAAGAAAAAACTAAAATTTCTAGTAATCTACCATACCAATACCCGACCACGAACCAATGCCACTCACCATGGTCAGCATCGTGAACAACGATTTATCGTCCATGGCCACAATCGAGGAATCTGGACGCCGCCAGGCGCTTGGGGCTGGGCAGAGCCTCCGAGGCGGGCCCGCTGCCGTCATGGAATCTGCCGCGGCAGTCAACTACGGAGTTGGCGTCGTCCACCGCAACCAAGTCACCGACTCCGTCAGAAAAGGCAGGGTTTCCGTCACCGCCGCTGACGTTGGTGACACCCGCGTCGTCACTGATAGAGTTGGCGGCCAGGTAAACCAAATCAAAACCCCATTAGTGTGAATTATTTTTTCTCCGATTTAGTTTAATAATGTTAATTTTCGAGATCTATTAGGTGGTGGGGCAGTATGTGGACATGACAGGAGGGGTCTCACTACAGGCGGCCGCCTCCGGAGGAGGTGGTGACGGGATAACGGTGGTGGAGGCGCTGGAAGCGGCGGCGCTGTCGGTCGGGGACAAGCCGGTGGACTAGGCGGATGCGGTTCAGCAATTGGGGATTAGAATAAATTAAAGTTTTTTTATCTATTTTAAATAAAATTGATAATGAGGTGGAAATGATATGATAATTTTAAAAAAATTATTTTATTAATTTTAAATTGCCACGTCACACATTTAACGGTCAACTTCTAGAGTTGACCGCCACATAAGCAAAACTTAACACAGTTGGGCGGAGAGTGACCAAATGTGAACGGTTTCAGTAAAGTGAAGTACCACCAATGGATTTAAATATTTCCAGTGACCAAATTTGAACATTTTTTGCAAACTCAGTGACCAACCATGCAATTAACCCCTATTTTTTCTATTACTTGTGTTCTTAATTGTGCAATATCTCATTTGTTTTAAATTGGAGTTCAAACATTTTTATCTATAAAGAATATAGGATCTACAAAATAATATTCTTTTTGTTATATTTTGAGTTAAAAAGTACACCTTCAAAACAAGAAATAAAAGACGTTCACATACTGTTTTTCATAGAGTTTCCAGATTGTCACACAACTTAAGTGGAAAATACGTAATTGATTCGAATCTACGCGTTGGAACTTAGAACAGAGAGGAGAGAAGGTCACGGCAAGACGAGCCGTTTATCATTATGATAGGTGTCAAGAAGCATATCTATTCTATATCCAATAAGTACCAAGGCGCAATACCCCGGTTTAATGGATATTGATAACGATGTAATTGCACATATTTGCGCCCCTAGTTCTTATCCGTTTGAGGGGCATATTCGTGTATTGTGGCCTATTTTACGCCGGGTTGTGCTATTTTGTCATGTTTCAGGTCCCAAGTGTCAAAGGGAAGGCTAAGCGCGGGTTTCGGGGCATTCGGAAGTCATTTCGGTGAGTTGGAGCCAAAACACGGGCAGCCTAAGGCATTACACGGCCGTGTACCTGTGGCCGTGCTTTTTATGCCGAGAGCAGAGCTGATTACACGGGCAAGGCCGAGACAAAGCACGGCCGTGTTCCACCAAAGCACGGCCGTGTCCAACGCGAAGCACGGCCGTGTTTAACCCACTTGCTGGCCGTGTAATTAAGCCTTGGCCGAGACACGGGCGGAGTCAGGCAAAGCACGGCCGTGTCCTCGACCGTGCTTTGGCCACTAATGCTTTTAAGCAGATTTTCAGCCACAACTCAAGAGGATTCGAGTTTTTGAGAAAGAGAGCGATTCCTAGAGAGAGAAAGTGACGAACAAGAGTCTCCAAGTGCCCTAGATTGATCTTCAACACCATTGGAGGCTTGCTTGAGCTTGGAGGAGTGCTAATCAACGTCCAGGAGCAGGAATCCATCCTTCACAGTATGAATTCCGTGTCTGATTCTGCTTTTGCTTTCTTCTCCATGGAGTAGTTCTCCCATTCATCTGGGTATGGAGAACCCTAGATTTGTATGTTAGGTTTGATTGTATGAACCCAAGTACTGATTCTATGATTGATTATATTCGATTGAGGTTTGCATGATTGAATGACTTGAATCCTGATCAAATTCCTGTTGTTTCTGCTTTAACCTAGAATGAGAATATCTGACTAGGTTAATAGAGTATCCTTGATTGAAGGTAGGGAGTTGGTGACTTTAGTCGAGGAGCCAACTCACTATTCTGTACCGGATTCACTCCGGTAGTGGAGGTTTTGTTGTTAAGGCCTCAATCTGTTTCTCCGGTGGAGGTTAGTCGCTCGCTAGAGACTCAGATTGAGAGGGTCTGAAGACCTTTAGTCGAGACTTCAGGCTGTTTAAGAACCTTCCGCAGTATAACTGTCATAGAAACTGAACTTGGTAATTACAGTCCGGCTTAACTGCAGTCTAGGGGGAACCATATCCGGGTGACCTCTCTTAACTTGAATACAACAGTTTACTTGCTTTGTTAGTTTGTTAGTTTAAACCTGCATTAAAGTTTCATTGCTAGATAACAAGAATTCACTGAGTAGTCATCAAATCTAGGACCCGGGTTGATAATTAAACCCAAACCCGCTATACTACGCTTTAGGAAGTGGTTACACTTGGCCAATTCCTAGGGTGACAGTAGAAGTGAGTCAGATATATGATATAAGAATATCCAAATTGATAAACTTATTCCAATTCCATGATCTCGGATCGAATCGGTCGAATTTGCTCATTTTCTACGATGTTTTCACAACCTACTTCGTCCCAATATCATGTCTGTGCCATATTGACTCGCTAAAACACAATTCCTAACAAAGGCCAAGTGTTACCAATGAAAGGGACTTAGTACAGTGGCTCAAGTGATAAATATCGAATCCACGGATCTCTAGAGTTACTATTATTAAGGCTTCAGTTCATTATCTAGAAAACCAAATTAAGATTGAAGAACTAAAACTACTCTAGCAAACTACAGTTAAAGTTAATCTAATTACAGGTTGGGAACTCACTTAATAATGATTCCCCTAGCCACTAGCTAGATTAGTGATTAATGATCTCTAACTTGTTTCACTTTCATTCACAATGCGGAGAATCCTTGACTAGACCTTGAATCTCGACTAAAGGAAGAATGCCCTCTTGAGTCAATTGTCTAGAGGGACGTATTATTCTCTATAACAACCGATCAAGTTGTTCTGAACTAGAATCCCTCTATCGAATGAGATTCTCAATTGATACAAAGCAGTGAATCGACCATCGACTAAAGCAATTGATCCAATATTCATTCTATGGTGCTCTGTTGACCTAATTCAGTATTCGATCTCATAGGATCAAAGCAGAATCAATAATCTCGACTAAAGCATAATTAAATAATGAAAACATGCATAGATTGAATATGAACTCAAGATTATCAAGTAAGAGTACTCATACAATCATCCAATCAAACAAACATGGCTAGGTTTCCTCAAAACTTACGTGAAGGGATGTTACTCCATAGAAAAGAGAGAGACTGCAGTAAGAATCTTCAAATGATTAGTCTTTAAGTCCGAGCTTACTCCTCGAGCATCCACGGCGAAGAAATCTTCCAATCCCACTCTAAGATTTCCGTCAAATCGCCCTCTCTCTTTGGTTTGTCCCTTGGGTGTTTGGGATCCAAAATCCAGCTCCCCATCCAATTTCCCGGTAGGGTATTTAGGGCTCTCGACCTGGGGGGGGGGGGGGTGTGGTGGGTGGGCTTCTGCTGGGTGAATACCCTATCTACCAGCTACATATACCCGGTCGGGTATTTGAGTGACCTCACCGGGTATTTTGCCTTTCACCTCCTTGCTGCCAACTCCTCGTTTTTCGACCCAAAACTCGCTTCCAAGCCTCCATTTCTGCTCCAAGTCCTGAAACATGACATAAAAGCACAACTTAGTGAGAAATCGGCTTAAAACACGAAAATTGACTCTCACACGGTCCAAAAATAGTGGGCAAAACATGTACAAATATCGGTTCATCACATATTCTCTGATAATTTCCACTTTTACAGGTGGACTAGGTGACGTACGTATACTTAATTAATTGTACTGACATGATTACTCTTTGTGGTTAAATGCCTTCCATGTATCAATATTAGTGTTCACAATCATACAAGGAGTCGTTCCCAATAAATTTCATATGAACCACATATATGTAATATGTCTAATAACATTTTCTACCTCTCTATTATTGCAAATTTATAAACGTATTACTCAACTATAGTTGGACTGATAAATTACACAAATACCCCTCAATAGTGGTTATTCTTTTTTTTTTAATCATTTTTTCTACAAACCCAATCGTCTTCCTCATCCCACCCCACTGATAGAGACTCATGCGCATCCTGCTTGCGCTTGGTGACAGCTGCACCCAGATTCCCCCAACCCCCTTTTTATGACTCCTGCCCATTGACAGTGAGGCTTGACGTCTCTCTTTCCATTTCTCACTTCAGAATTTAAACCACCAATAAATAATATTATCAATGTCTTTTTAAGAGAAACCTAGATCGAAGAATACATGTGAAGGTGGAGTCTCCAATCCAACCGCCCACCCTAGCCGATATAGCTAATCTGCTAACAGGGTTAGTTGTTAGTAGATACTCACAAGATAGGATGGCTGCCCACCTCAGCAAGCTGCGATCCGACGACAGCAGATGTGAGACATGTGAAGAGGAGGAGAAAACTCACCCTCTCGGTTGATGAAATCCAACCCCCACCTACCAACAAAAGGATCCCACAATTCTAATTTCACCCACTTTTTTAAATAAACCCACTTTTCACTTAACTCCCCATCATTTCGTTGGTCTCTTTCCTCTCTCCAAAAATAAAAAAACTTCTGATGACTTGATATATACACATGTTTTTGTCCACCATTCCTATACCGTTTGAGTCTCATCTCTCGTGTTTTAGGCCGATTTCACGTTAAGTTGTTCTTGTTTTTGATATTTCAGGTTCTAGTACGTGAAGGAACATTTGGGCACGAGTTCGGGGTCGATTGGACGAAGTTGAGACGTTTGACGAAAAGCTGGAAATTCCACACGGGCAGACCTAAAAATTCCACACGGCCGTGTGACTTGGCCGTGTTGAACCCCTTTCTGCGGGCAAGCCACACTGGCCGTGTAAAGGGCCCTTTTTGGCCGTGTGGAATTCCCAGAGAGGTCACACGGGCAGACCTAAATTCCACACGGCCGTATGGTTTTAGCCGTGTAGCGTACCTGGAGTCACTAAATCGAACGCAGCGTTTTGGAGAGCCACACGGGCATACCTAAATTTTACACGGCCGCGTGATCAGGCAGAACTGGATTTTTAACTCAGTTTTGGGTCTTTTGAAGGGGGAACGTCTTTTTGAGCAGAAAACAGAGTTTTAGAGATAAAAAGTGTGAAGAACAAACCCTAGGAGCTATTTAGAGTGGATTTCTCACAATTGAAACCCAGATTGCATCCCCAGGAGTGAAGATCGACATCCCAGAGCAGATTATCCCCATCTTTATGAGTATGATCTCTCTCTCTCTCTCTCTCTCTCTCTCTCTCTTTATGGAGTAGAACCCTCTCTCACTTGGGTATGAAGAACCCTAGTTCCATGTGTTAGGAATCTTGATTGTAATGACGTTTTGATTGATATACTGCTTGATTATAATCGATTGATGCATGATTCATTGAGTCAATTGAAGCCTGATCAAATTTTCTTGATTTCTTTTGCAACCTGAGATAGATAGAATCTGATTAGGTTGTTAGAGCTTCATCTATTGGTAGTAGTGAATTGGTTATACGAGAGTTAATCGATTTACTACTTTGTACTGGAATCCAATTCCAGTAGTGGAGTTCTCTGTTTATTGCCTCAGCAGTCTATCCCGGTGAAGGCTAATCGCCTGCTGGTTAGTCTGTCTGAGAGGGCTTGGTCAGCTTAAGAGATTCCAAGCTACTTTCGGATCTTTTGTAGTTTAATCAACAGTAAACCAAAGGTAATTACAACTTTGACCTAACTAAGGAGCTAGGGGGACTCATTCCAGAGTGACTCTTCCCCTGCTTAAGAACTTCAGACCATTTCCTGCTTTCTTACTGCTTTAGCTAAAACCACACTCAATCAACTTAATTTGCTAGATAATAAATCATCATGAAGTAGGCAGTAGATCTAGACCCCGGGTTGATAAATAGAACTTACCACTATTCTGCATTTCCGGACTGCGATTACACTTGGTCGTAGTTTGGTGTTGTATTTTAGCGTGTCAAGTTTTTGGCGCCGTTGCCGGGGACTTCTTGGTTATTGTGGAAATGTGAAAGTTTGTTACTCTAGCTTTTTCTTTACTAGCGTTGTCTCTCTTACACCTTTGTGCCTTCACGGGTTGTGTTTTCATTTGTGTGCAGGTAGTGCATGACCCGTAGCCAGTCAGGAGACTTATTGCCATTAGACCAAGAGCTTGAACAGACCTGTAGGAACTTCAAGAGATCTCTAAAGGTGACTGGTTGCGGAGGAGGCTTTAGCATAGCTGCAGATCAACCAGGAGGAAGACATGGGTGAGCCTCAAAACAAGGACGCCTTCAAGGTGGGCACTTTCTACCTCGCCCTCTTCCCAGAAGACAAGCAGTTGATTGACTCGATCTGCGGCGGGAACATGCTAACCAAGACCCTGCCGCAGCTGAATTGACTCTTTGAAGAGATGGCAGAGCAGGGATATGATTGGGGGACTTCTAGGAGATCGAGACGAGCACCAGGTCGGGGTGTGCATGCTATGGCCACCCAGTCGTATGAGCTGGTGCAGGTGGTATCAAAGCTAGTCTCGGCCATTGATCATTCTGGGATGGTCCCAAGGACAGGACAACAATAGGAGATGCATTTCTAGTGGTGCGAGAGCACCCATCATACTGTGGAAGACTGTCTAGCGATGAGGGAGTCGACTACACCCCAGGAGCAGGTGAACTTCATCAACAATGCTAGGCGCAATGACCCCTACATCAACACGTATAACGAGGGGTGGCGCCAGCATCCCAACTTCTCTTGGAGTGGAAATAATCTTAAGTCACCAGTCTCCCAGGGACCTCCAAGCTTCCAGAGACCGCCATATCAGCCATGGCAGGGGCAATTCCAGCAACAACAACAATCTCTCTACCATCCCATGCAGGGGCATGCTGCTCAACCACAACCGCGACCTTTCCAGCAGTCAGGTGAAGCCCCTACAACCCTAGTGCAGAATGATCTGATAGCTGAACTGCGGGACTTGGTGGGTTCTCTTGCCAGTTCCAGTGCTCATAAATTCAACACTATGGAGTAGTTAATGGAAAAGGCCTCGAGTAAATTCTTGGCTCTTGAAGCTGGCCAAAGGAACACATAGGTTGTTTTGCAGGATATCCAAACCCAGCTGGGGAGTGTGGCTCAAGCAGTTGCACAGAGGGCTCCGGGTACCTTGCCGGGTCATACCATTCCTAATCTGAAGGACCCGAATGCCCATTGTAATGCTATCACTAC